TTTTGGGACATTTGATCTCATGTTCAGTTCTGTCATGGCATAGAGCTGATCTATGACTGTCAGATGTGGTTTACAAATATAATTAGATTTATCAATCCTGCCTTGATGGTTGTGATGTATTAAAAGCTAAGGAGGAAGGTTTGTTTGCTTCAGTGAGGTTCACACCACCTACAAAAACAGAGAGGCAATTACGCACTGACTAGAAAAGCAGCATTCTGACCAGAAGGGTCTGAAGCCACTATGCGATTCTGATTAATAAACATCCCCAGGGGAACCAAAGATGTCTTCTTGCAGTACAGAACTCAATTCATGCAGAAACCAGCTAATTACGGCCAAGTGGGTCCTGTCGTGCTTCAACTGCCTGAAGCAGTAGATCACCTGAACTTGACCAGCGTCAAGGCAGGGTCAGAGGATTTTCCCCCAATTTAAACTTGGTTTGAGGTAAGTAGCAATAAATAAATGTGATCCTGGTGTATTCATCTTACTAAAGACACCGCCTAGTGGACATTTGTGATGACACTTAACTTAAGTATGCAGTCGAAAAGGTGTTTGGCTCACTGTTCCAAAAGTACAGGTTAGAATCAGACTCTTTTGTCTCTTGAATGGAGATGCCTTTCTTGAAAAGCACACTGTTAGAACATACTGTATATAAATATCTTACACCAGATATGGATGTAGAGTGGTTACACTGTTGTTTTCTTTGCTTGGTATAGATGGGAGGTGTTGCTGTTTTCATAGAACACAAATTTGACACATTACCTGTTTCATTTTGTGTTACATGTTTAATTTTATCAACAATCAAAATACTGGGAAATGGGAGCGATCCCCTCCATTACCCCTACAGCCCCAACCTTCTCTCAAAAAGGAGGAGAAAAAACACAATCACAAACTCCAGGTATATCTAAATCAGTATGAATCATTGCTTGTTTCTTAAACAGCTTGGCAATTCTTCTGTAGCCAAGGGTCAGACCAATATGTCTTTGATATGGAATTGTGAGCTCCACTTTTAATGCAGACAAGTATGAATGTTAGATGTGAGTAGAAAAAACGAAAACTGTATAAAAAGAATGGGAAACTGAGCTTGAAGGGGTTACTTGTGAGAAAGACTTCAGTGCTTACGTTGACATATTATTTCCATCTTCAGAGAATGTGAGGAAGCAATTAAAAAACCAAACAGAATGTTAATCAATCAAAGTTTAACTATCAAATGCACAGCGTGCAGCAGTAGTTGAAATGAAGACAATGAAATGTCTTTTTTGCAAGCATTATTATGTGATAATACATTATAGTGCAATAGAAATTGAATAAAATAAACTCAGACAAAACTCAATATAAATAGAGATGCGATGTGTCCAGGGTGTATGCAATACATTATGTTCAAGTAGTGCAGTATGCTGAATACAATGAAAACTGTATGTCCATGTAGCCATTATGGGTGATTTGCTGAAGGAACTGCAGCTTGGCTATTTAGCAGTCTTATTGCCTGGAGGTAGA